AAATCACCAGATGGGCAATACCGAAATCAGATTGATTATGTTCTCTGCAGCCAAAGATGGAGAAGCTCTATACAGTCAGCAAAAACAAGACCTGGAGCTGATTGTGGCTCTGATCATCAGCTTCTTATAGCAAAATTCAAGCTTAAACTGAAGAGAGTAGGAAAAACCACTGGGCTGGTCAGATATAATCTAAGCCAAATCCCTTATGAATACATAGTGGAAGTGAAGAACAGATTTAAGGAACTTGATTTGGTGGACAGAGTGCCTGACGAATTTTGGATAGAGGCTTATAACGTTGTACAGGAGGCAGCAACAGAAACCATCCCAAAGAAAAGGAAATGTAAGAAACCAAAGAGATCTGTTCAGGAAAATCGGAGATATCAAAGGAATATTTTGTGCAAAGATGGACATGATAAATGACAAAAATGGGAAGGACTTAACAGAAGCAGAAGACATGAAGAAGTGGTGGTAAAAATACACAGAAGAATTATACTAGAAAGATTTGGATATCCCTGACAACCCAGATAATGTGGTTGCTGACCTTGAGCCAGACATCCTGGAGAGTAAGCCTTAGAAAGCTTGGCTAACAACAAGGCCAGTGGAGGTGATGGCATTCCAGTTGAACTATTTAAATCTTAAAAGATGACAATGTTAAAGTGCTACATTCAATATGTTTGGAAAACTCAACAGTGGCCAGAGGACTGGAAAAGATCAGTCTACATCCCAGTCCCAAAAAAAGGGCAGTGCCAAAGAATGCTCCAGATATTGTACAGTTGCACTCATTTCACACACTTCCATGGTTATGCTCAAAATCCTGCATGGTAGGCTTCAGCAGTGCATGGACTGAGAACTCCCAGAAGTACAAGCTGGATTTTGAAGGGGCAGAGGAACTAGAGACCAAATTGCTAACATGCGCTGGATTATGGAGAAAGCCAGCGAGTTCCTGAAAATCCATCTACTTCTGCTTCATTGACTATGCAAAAGCCTTTGACTGTGTTGACCACAGCAAACCATGGTAAGTCCTTAAAAATGGGAGTGTCTTTTAAAATTGGGAGATCTGATTTGCATAGTTTCTGCATCATATTTTAGTTTAGCCCCCAGATCATTAAGACTGGGAAGCCCTCGTCCTGGGGAAAAACCTGTTTTACACATTGATCCTTCTGTCTGTCATTGTGAGCTCCAGCTGGACTTGCCAGACTTTTGAGTCCTTTAGTAGAGGGTCACAACCTGGGCGGAGAGGTGAGTCAAGAGACCCTGAGCCTGCCAGGAAATATTGACTCTCTTTGAACTCACTTCAAAGGCTGGTGGAAGTTCAGAGTTTGTTATCTTGGGGAAAATCTCTGAAGACCCTACAGAATAAAACACACAAGAGAGTAAAGTTGAAGTTTGGAGGATCATAAAAGAAAAGCAAACAGAAATAGAATCATTGTATTATAAGGAGTTGGCTTCATTTTTTCTGTCCCTTGGATCAAATGGTAGTATAGCCAAACATGCTTCAGGAGGCTTTCCCACAATACAGCAACTACTTTCCTGTGATACTTCTCATAAATATAGCAATTGACATAAACATAGCATTTTATCTTGCATTGACATGAAGTGCTGTTGAGAAATTGCTGAGGCAGTTTCCGTGATTATTAGGGTAGGGAAATTGCTGAGGCAGTTTCCATGGATTGTTAGGATAGGTAGCAAATTGCTCTGAAATGAACCCTCATGATGCCTGTTCTTTGTAGAGCAATCTTCAAACGATGCTTATGAAACCAAGAGATGTGTTTTCCACATTTTTGTTGTTGTTGCAAAGGTGCTTCCCAAAGTGGTGAAAGATGTTTGTCATGGCACATGATTTCCGTCACCAACATATCTCGCATTTAGCATGCTTTGTTTATTGAGTGTAAAATAAACAAGAATTTAATTTGCAAATCGAGTTACTGAAGCATATATTTCTGAGAAAACCCTATTGTGTAAGAGGAACATGAATTTGTTTGCTTGTCTGTTTATTTATTTGCCACCTTTCACCCCATAGGAAGCTCACAACAACTAAACAGCATTCAACTGTTTTAAAATACCATATAATATTATATTAAAAATAATTAAACATATACAGTGGTGCCTCACTAGACAGTTACCCCGCATGACAATTTTTTGCTAGACATTGGCTTTTTGCAATCGCTATAGCGATTCGCAAAACAGTGATTCCTATGGGGGAATTTCGCTGGACAATGTTTGGTCCCTGCTTCGCAAACCAATTTTCACTAGACAATGATTTTGACAGCTCCCTCCGTGCTTGCAAACAGGTGTTTTCGGGACCTAAGCTTCGCAAGACAGCGATTTAAACAGCCGGTTGGCGGTTCGCAAAGTGGCTTTCCTATGGCCAATCTTCGCTAGACAATGATGATTCTTCCCCACTGGAACGCATTAAACAGGTTTCAGTGCATTCCAATGGGGAAATGCTTTTCGCTAGACAATGATTTCCCTAAACAGCGATTTCAGTGGAACGGATTATCATCATCTAGTGAGGCACCACTGTAACATGGCTAAAACCAAAATTAAAAACAATTTTAAAACATTTTTACAAATTTTTAAACATTTGTAGATAAATAAACAAAGCATTATTGAGACAGTTGTTGACAGCTGGGTCCATGCTTCGCAAAATGGTTTTTTAGGAATGGTTTTTTGCAAGACAGCGATTTTGACAGCTGGGTCCACACTTCACAAAATGGTTTTTCTATGGGCGATTTTTGCAAGATGATGATTTCACCCCATTGGAACACATTAAATAGATTTCAGTGCATTCCAATGGGGAACCGCATTTTGCAAGATGATGTTTTCGCAAGACAGTGATTTTCGCGGAACGAATTAACATTGTCTTGCGAGGCACCACTGTACACTATACAGTATATGTGAGATGTCTGAGGAATGATTTACCATTGTCAACCCCCAATGCTTTTCCAGGGTTGAATGGGAATTTGAATTCAGGTTTCCTGACTCCTGCTCCATCATTCTGTCCACTATACTACACTGGTTCTTGATACTGTGTTAGGATTTCAATACTATGTCTGAGATATCTTTTATCTACTAAAAGTGGCCAGAATCCTATGATGCACCCTTGCATGAAGGAAATTGATAGGAAATTATCACCATGTCATTTTCCTTATGTGCTCATGTCATTTTCCTTATGTGCAAGTAAATTGGCGATAGGATTCTGGCCCCTTTTTCAAAAAAAATATAGTCACTTTTATTTGACATAAACTGACTTTTGATTTCCAGTGTCAACTACACAATGTGTTGCATTGACTCGGCCTCTTCTTCTCCATCTTGATTCTTCAGTTAGGGGAGAGCTTGGAAAGGTTACTCTTTTGAGATAAACAAACTTTGAACTGAAGCAATTGTAACTGATCAGTAGAATCTGTCTCTCTGGGAGCCATCACAGGGTATAATCAGATGGCTGTAAAGGTATGCATATGATCATATCAGAAAGTGTCACTTTAGCATGAGTGATCTCCCTTACAGCAACCCTTGTAGCCCTACTACTGGACCATAAAGGTGTTCAAGGAGTGATGTTTCATTGCCACGAACTGAGTGGGGATTTGAATCGACGTTTCCTGAGTCCTATTTTGACATCTGGACCATAAAGGTGTTCAAGGAGTGATGCCTCATTGCCACCATGAGTTGTTGTTTTTTTTTAAACTGAGTGGGGATTTGAATTGAGGTTTCCTGAGTCCTGTTTTGACATTTTGTCCAGTATAGTATGCTGGGACTTGATATGATGTTAGGATGTTTTCAATACTTAAAAGTCCAGCTTGGACACTGATTGAGGTCAAGTTAGAGTGTACAGTATTTCCCCATTCATCATATGATCCTCAGGAAACAGAACACATCTGATTGTTTCACTAGGGTCCAAAATGCGATCTGTTTCCCCTTGTGATCACACCATCAGTTTCTGAAGCTGGCTACTATCCTAGCGCATTTCCACCTATCCCTTGCTACGTGGATTAGTTCTTCTTTATTATGGCCCAGCAATCTGTGATGTTCCCCACTCAAGAAATTTTTCTACCTTTTCTATGTTTACCTTTGCTCTTCCCTTCAATTATATATTGCAGAACATGATATTTGTCATAACGAATTATGTGTTCAAGTAATGGAAGCTTGCATTTCTTAATAACCCTTTTGTTTTCCAAGCCAAAGAAACACCTCAATTCTTTATTTTATCTGTCCATGGGATGTGAAGGATTTTCTTGTATCCCCACATTTCAAAAGTGTTCATTCTATTGAGCATCTATTTTTCAGTAATTCAAACCTTAAGAACACTACATCTGAAAGCATCTGAGGCAGAGCTTGAAAAATAGTAATTATTATTTTACTGTGATTCCCAGAATCTTTTGTCAGTGTGGCCAGTCCGGGACTTGTAATCCCCCAAAATGATCTGATGAGATACTTCTAAACCAGAGTACTCATCTATATTACAAACAGCTACAAAATAATAAATGTACTAATTCTCGAGGTCTACCTACCTATTAAATACAATTGAAATAGGCAGGGACTTTGAAAGTTCAATCAAATTTTCCCTATTTTACATCCATAGGACAACACCATTGACTTCTTAGAGTATGTGGCTGCTCTGAATCTTGTTTTACGTGGGAAGCTAGAACACAAACTGCGGTGGACGTTCAAAATGTATGATAAGGACGGGAACGGCTGCATAGATAAAACTGAACTCTTAGAAATAGTTGAGGTAAGTCAATGTTTGTTATTTATTTCTAAATATATTGACATATGATTCCAGGTGACCATAACTCCAGTTTGGTAGCTGCTGTGTAAGCAAGCCTGTCTTGAAGCGATAGTGCAGAGCTTTTCCAAATGGATTCCCATAGACATCTCTGAGGCAACAGGAACCATATGTTTGAATTTCTTTTTGAGCCTTCCATAGGGCAGAAGAATTTAGAAATAAAAATCATTTGAGTGGAGTTTAGACACCCCCCTTGGCTATGTGCTCTAGATCAGTGGTTCTTAACCTTTGTTACTCGAATGTTTTTGAACTGCAACTCCCAGAAACCCCAGCCAGCACAGTTGGTGGTGAAGGCTTCTGGGAGTTGCAGTCCAAAACTCCTGAGTAACCCAAGGTTAAGAACCAGTGATCTAGATTGTGGCTGCATGTGCTTGCTTGAATTTAGAAATAAAAATCATTTGAGTGGAATTTAAAAATCCCCCTTGGCTATGTGATCTAGATTGTGGCTGCATGTGCTTACTTGAATGTTAAAAAAAGAAAGAAAGAAAATACTTGTAAACTTGACCTTAAATCATATTTATTGTAAAAATAAATATGATTTAAGGTCATATTTATTTTAGCTCTAAGAAAATAAAAAAAAATTCCCATGGAATTTTCTCCTTATAAGCTGCTTTACTTCTTGTTCGGGCAAATCTAGACATTCCCCTGAAAGAAAAGCAGTGTTGAAAGAAAGAAAGAAAGAAAGAAAGAAAGAAAGAAAGAAAGAAAGAAAGAAAGAAAGAAAGAAAGAAAGAAAGAAAGAAAGAAAGAAAGAAAGAAAGAAAGAAAGAAAGAAAGAAAGAAAGAAAATACTTGCAAACTGCAGGCTTCTCAGTTAAAGTCGTATTTATTTTAGCTCTAAGAAAATTTAAAAAATTCCCATGGAATTTTCTCCTTATAAGCTGCTTTACTTCTTGTTCAGGCAAATCTAGACATTCCCCTGAAAGAAAAGCAGTGTTGAATGAGTGGAGGGAATCATTTTACAACACAAGAGCAAACAGTGTAATGGAAATTTCTGGGAAAGATTACAGCCCAGCTATTATTAAAAGGTTTGGGAATAAGGATTATGCAGAGAGAAATCAGCACTGAGCTGTGATGCTTATCACACTTGCCCTTCTTTCATTAGAACAACAGAATAGGCTTTCATTTGAAAGAGCCCAATCTCTTCCGCCTCCTGCTGATCCCCACCTCACATCTAAGGCCAATTGCTTGGCTACTGTAAGTATGCCAAGCCACCTATTTGGGTGAATCCTGAGTCCCAAGACCACAAGGAGTGGATGACCCAACTCCTCAGAGAGATCTGCCACAGGCAATTTCTCAGTTCTTGTTTTAAACCTCAGCAGAGAAGTGATCAGAGCAGGGCCATGACCTCATTAATCTGTAGTCTGGTAAAATGCTAGCCCACAGACACCCTTGTTCAAAGAGTTTAAGAGTAGCCTAAATCAAGAGTAGCCTAAATCTTAAGTCAGAGGGGAGAACCCAGAATTCAGAAATCTGCTATGAAACAAGACCACATTAGGAAATGTTCAAGCGATCTTTATTTGTTTGTTTAAAATATTTTTATACAGACTCTTAAGGCAAAACCTTGGTGGCTAACATAATAAATGGTTAAGATTATAAAATAAAATACAGTTTTATTTTTATAAAATGATAATAATGCCCCTTTATGACTGTTAAGTTCGTCAGAGGAGGTCTTTCTCTCAGTCCCACCACCCTCATAGCCGCCTAGAGTGGTCGTAATTGACTAAATAGGTGGGATATAAACAAACAAACAAACAAACAAACAAGCAAGCAAGCAAGCAAGCAAGCAAGCAAGCAAGCAAGCAAGCAAGCAAGCAAACAAACAAATAAATAAATAAATAAATAAATAAATAAATAAATAAATAAATAAATAAATAAATAAATAAATAAGAATAGTTAAGAAAACATCTAAAGTAAGGACACTAGTCAGAAAAACACTGTGCATTTTTTTAAAAAAGTAAAATATATTTTACAATTTTAAAAATCCATTTAAAAGCATCCTGGAACTACTGAGTCTGTAATAATCAGGTAAAACAGTCAGTGAGAAAGCCTTACACACATCCTACTATAAAGCGTAATAATTATACATAACTGTGTGCCATCAAGTCAATTCTGACATGTCAGCTCCTTTCAGGGTTTTCTAGGTAGAGACTAACTAGTTTATCTATTCTATTCTTCTGGGGACATCTTGAGACTGTGCAGCTTGTCCGAGGCCATACAGGCTGGCTCTTCTCCCTGGAGAGTGGGAGATCAAACTCTCAGCTTCCAGCTCCACAGCCAGATGCCTAACTGACTGAGACATCCAGCTAGCTGATAATGATTACAGGAAACATGTTTCTACTTGAGTGTTAAGGGATCACTATCCAAAGCACAGTACGTATTGTTGACATGTTGCCTGTTTTTGTGTTTCTCCCTTTCCAGTGTATTTACAAGCTGAAGAAAGTGTGCCAGCCTGAAGAAGAAGCAGGACGCCCCCGTCTTAGTCCTGAGGAAGTTGTGGATAGGATATTTCAATTAGTGGATGAGAATGGAGATGGTGAGAAATTTGCCCTTTGGGTCACACAAAATAAATACATTTATTATGCCTTTTCCAGGCAGATGTTTAATGGGTATACCAGAACTCAGAAGAAGGACCACCTCATGCATTTTAATACACGTGGCCAGCCTGTCAACTCATTTCTAACACAGTGGATCTCTCTGTTTACACATTTGTACTTTCTCCCCAACTATTGACCAGTAGTCTTTGCACAAATTTCTCATGGAATTTTATAATATTGTGCTTATTCCATTTCTCTGAGTGCTGAGAAGTCTGAATAATGCAGCACATATCCAGGTTTGGTTCCCTTTGTAAAACAGAGGCTTTTTGGCATTCTGCAATATTTGTGTTTATTTACAAAGGTACAAGTTAAGCGGAAGTGGATGCACTGTTTGTACAGTGGGGAAAGTGTGCCAGCCTGAAGAAGAAGCAGGACGCCCCCGTCTTAGTCCTGAGGAAGTTGTGGATAGGATATTTCAATTAGTGGATGAGAATGGAGATGGTGAGAAATTTGCCCTTTGGGTCACACAAAATAAATACATTTATTATGCCATTTCCAGGCAGATGTTTAATGGGTATACCAGAACTCAGAAGAAGGACCGCCTCATGCATTTTAATACACGTGGCCAGCCTGTCAACTCATTTCTAATGCAGTGGATCTCTCTGTTTACACATTTGTACTTTCCCCCCAACTATTGACCAGTAGTCTTTGCACAAATTTCTCATGGACTTTTATAATATTGTGCTTATTCCATTTCTCTGAGTGCTGAAAAGTCTGAAGAATGCAGCACAAAGAGGCTTTTTGGCATTCTGCAATATTTGTGTTTATTTACAAAGGTACAAGTTAAGCAGAAGTGGATGCACTGTTTGTAATACTCTTGGCAGCTAAAATGTGCTTTAATATTAAGACTTGTGCCTTAATATTGGCAGAAATCTAGTAGAATGTTGCAAATGGAATAGGCCCACTGACTCAGTGGAGATTTGGTGTGCCAACTCTGTTGTTCCATGAATTCCTACTCCAGCTGCAACTTACTATTGGATTTAAGCCATTTTTACCAATGGGTCAAACTAAAAAAATAAGCAGAATGTGTGAATTTCCTGCAAGTAATATGTTTTTCCTCCAGTGATAGGATTTCCTCAATTATATGTCCCACAAACCAGACTTGAAAAATAAGCAGAATGTATTTTACATTCCAGTGATCTAAATGCAAGTTCAGGTGTTGAGGAAAAGCACTTGATGGAGCACTGCTTCTAAATTGGTGCTAAGTGAAACACGAGTTTGACTGTCAGATAGTCCAAAATGGCACTTCGTTCTTTTCCTTTTCAAAAGGTCTAAAAATCACACTCACTTTTTCCCTAGGAGCCTGACCTTATGCTAGAATATCAATTGGCCAAGACATTTTGTCACCTGGGCTGGAACATGATATACGACCCTCACCAATTTTGCTGCCACAGTTGGTCTCTCCCCCTCTCCCGGCACTCCACATCATCTCCAATTTCCTTTTTTCCCCTTTATCTCCTCAGCAGAATTCATCCTGACAATCCTGCTATCAGCACTTTTCCCCTTATCTATTCCATGTTCTCTCTCTTTCTCTCTTCTCTCTGTCCCTCCCTCCCTCCCTCCCTCCCTCTTTCTCTCTCTCTCTCTTTTGCACTGCCACTATATTCTTGACTGTAGCTGCCGTCTCATCTGCATTTACCTAGGAGCAAACTCTCTGCTGTCTAAAAGTGTGTCTTAAAACAAATTAACCTTTCTATTAAAGAAAATTTAAAATAAGAAGCTGATACAGGTTTTGAAACTTGTACACAGCCTTGTATATAGTATGGCATCAACTTTTTACTGTGTTTTAATTGTTGTAAGCCAACCAGAGACCTTTAGGTAGTGTGGGTGGCATGTAGGTTAAATAAATAAATAAGTTAAAAATAAATAAACTTCCATTTTGGATAAATGACAGCTCTAAGGATCTAGGTCAGGACAGTGACTGCCTCAAAACAGAGAGCTGGACAAAGTTGGTCTTACCTTTTGTGTGACCCATCTTCCTCTATTGGCCACAGACTCTGTGAGTCCTCAGTGGCAAGATTACAAGGAGAAAGGGAGGGGGTCTTCTGAAGGTGCCCCCTGCTAGAGCAGTGGTTCTTAAACCGGGATCCCCAGATGCTTCTGGACTGCAACTCTCAGCAGTCCTGGCCATTACAGCAAGTGTTGAAGGCTTCTGGAAATTGCTGTCCAAGAACATTTGGAGATCTCAGTTTGAGAGGTCCCCAAATGTGTGCTAGAATATCTGGCTTCTCCATTGGCCTGGTGAGTTTCGGTACACAGATATGTTATATACAATATCTCCTAAAGCACAAAGTTGCATACAAAGTGAAAAGCAGAAGTAAAAATTCTCAGTGATTATGGCTACCAAATAGATCTTCATACTACACTTCACAATTGTAGCAGTCTGATACCACTTTAATTGCTGTCTCCATACTATAGAATCCTAGGATCTGTAATTTGATTAAGTTACTTTAATGGTCCACCAAAGAGTTCTAGTGTTGTAATTCATGGGAGTGCACCAGAGCTCTTTCGTCGTTGTTTAGTCGTGTCCGACTTTTCGTGACCCCATGGACCAGAGCACGCCAGGCCCTCCTATCTTCCACTGCCTCCTGGAGTTGTGTCAAATTCATGTTGGTTGCTTCAATGACACTGTCCAACCATCTCATCTTCTGTCATCCCCTTCTCCTCTTGCCTTCACACTTTCCCAACATCAAGGTCTTTTCCAAGGAATCTTCTCTTCTCATGAGATGGCCAAAGTACTGGGGCCTCAGCTTCAGGAGCTGTCCTTCCAGTGAGCCCTCAGGGTTGATTTCCTTTAGAA